CTACCACAACTGACTTCTCCAACAGGTATCACAGTAGAGGGTCCCAGACAGAGCTGGAGAAAAATATAGAACAAAATTCAAATTCACACACACAGAAAAGGCAGACTTAGTGGTCTGACAGAGACTGCAGGAACACTCAAAACTATGACCCCCAGACATCCAGCTAATTCAGGACTAAAGCCATTCCCAAAGTTCACCTTTCAACCAAAGATTTAGACAGGTCTATAAAACAAACAGTAACACACTCAAGGAATGTCTTTCTTAGTTTAGCCAAGTACAAGAGACTAAAGGGGCATCACCTGCCCAAAAGCAAAGACAAGAAGGCAGGAGGGGACAGGAAAACTGGACATATGCACACGAGGAACCTGGGGTGGAAAGGGAAAGGAGGAAAGTGCCGACACAGTGCAGGGATTGCAACCAATATCACAAAACAATTTGTATATAGATTTTTGAATGAGAAACTAATTTTCACTGTAAACTTTCACCTAAAGCACAATAAAATTTAAAAAACAAAACTTACGGCTCAGAGAAGGAACATAGGCAACAAAATTCTTCAACCTCCTGCTTCTGAGAAAGAGGCATGGGTTGGTTATGTCAACGTCACTGACGGGACACAATGCCCTAGTTCTCACCACAGGTTGGAAATATTGATTCAACTTGATTCAACTACTGCTACCTAATAAACTGCCACAGACATGATGAAAAATCATCGCTAGGGTCATATTAACAAGAACAGGAAGCAAACCAGGAAGAGAAAGTCTCTCTTCCCCCACCTCACCCATCATCCTGCCTACCTATATTGCCCCTTATGGGTGAAAACCAATAAGAATACAGCAAGCAAAGAAGAAATGTGTTGTGCGCACTCCCAAACGCAGCCTCACAAAAGGGCTGATAAAAGTATGCATTTGGAACTCAGAGACACCCCTTAATACCTGGCACACACGTGTGGCATGTCAGACAACTCTTCACACTACAACAGGAATCCAAGACAAAATTTTACTTAGGAAGTAGTCAAAAATATTGCCAGCTTATTGATTCTGCTCAATATTCTTCACTTTCTCCTGAGAACACCATGTCAACTGACTATGCTAATGAGCGGACTATAGCCTACTATGCAAATGAAGTATCCCTGTGCTCAATTGAGAGGGGATTGGTCAGTTTGTGGCACCCACTGGGAGGGGCCATGCCTTGAAAATGACAAGGAGTTGTGTATACAAGCAGCCAATGCCACAGAGGTTTTAAAGACAGAAAAAAGTAGGAAGAGAAGCAGAAGGAAGAAAGAAGAGAGAAGAAGCAGAGAGAGAGCAGGCAAGGAATCTCATTTAAAAAAGCGGTAACATGGATCAAGGGCTGTAACGCTGAAGACAGCGAGAGGCCCAGAAGGGACCCAGCAGGAGGGAGACACACGGCAAGGCCAAAAAGATTCTGTCCTCATGGGGGCGGAAAGGAGGCTGTTCTTCGGGGGCCAAGAAATGCCTGTCCTGAGAGGGCCAAGAGGAGCCTGTCTTGAGGGGGCTGAGAGGAGCCTGTCCTCAGAGGACAAAGAGAAGCCTGTCTTCAGGGAGCCTAGAGGAGACCTATACCACCAAGAGGAGCTGAAGAGAGCTGTCCTGCATTGAACAAGGGAGACTTTGCCTATATGCTTCCTACTCTAGATCCTGAATTGTAGCCTGTTGATCCTGATCTCAAATTGTACCCTGTTCCTTAATAAACCACTTAACTGTAAGTATAGTCTGTGAGTTCTGTGTGGCCATTGCAATGGATTATTGAACCCAACAGAGAAGCAGAGAGTTCTGTGGGAGGGACGGCTTGTTTCAGAATTGCTAAAAAATGTCGGAGAGTGGAGGTATGTCTGACCTCTACCTCATAGCGTTCAGGGTTGTGCTGATCTTAATTCACAATATCCCCCTGAAGTTAGGCAGGTTCTGACGCTAATACTACTATTCCCCTTTTACAGTATGAACAGAATGTCTAATTGAAGCAGTTCAGAAAGACAGGAGGGAAGTCCTTCATGCTTGACTCCTGCAGATCCCCAGCTACAATAGCTCAGAGCAGGCATCGTTAGGTTCCACGGTGACTGAGAACCTCCTTCAAAAGACATCCAGATGTGTTTCTAATTTGATCCTGGAAGGGGTGTCAGTGGCCTCATCAGTTTCGCCAAGCTGAGTCTTAATGGAATAGACAAAAAATTTCCAGGGCATTAGTTGCTGTCATCTCTTCTGTGCTGTGAGCCCTAGGATGCATTTCATTTTTTAATTATTTAATATTAATAACAATTAAAGAACTGCAACAGGTATGCTTGTGTGACACACACACACACACACACACACACAAAAACAAACTGTTGGCAATCCAAGCATTTAGAATGTGGTTTGGCAGAGAAGTTTAAATATGTTAAATGGCTGAGTTTCAGCCAAGATTGCATTTTCTTTTAGTTCAAGTAACTGATGTAAAACTAATTTTTGTAAGACATGATGATCAGAGTAGCCAGAAGGTAGAATGGAACGTTGATGTGAGTAGGGGATTGGGGTAAGGGAGAACCATCATTACGGTAGATTAATAAAATTAAATTATTAATTTTTCATATGGACATGTTTGGAGTGATTGATGTGAGTAAACTGTGTGCCTGGAGGAAACATCACAAGTTGGGAACTAACCAGAGATCATCGGATTTCGTTGTTGGTAAATGGGGAATGTAGTTATGATAGTTCAACTAATTATTTTAAATTTACATTATGGGAAGACAGCCTATAAAAGAAGATTCTGACCTAAAAAGGGGAAGGCAAAAGGGATGTTTGCTGGAGGGGATGTGTGAGAAGTCAGGGGCATGCGGTACCATCACAGCATGATGGAAACTGTACCTGGGAACAGCCTGAGGGAGTAGTGGAAAGGAAGAGGTCAGGGGGCATGCCAACGTCAGAAAATAAACTGTGGATATGAACTTAGCATTGATAAGGGCAGGAGGAGGAAGTTCTCAACTTCATTATTCCCCTATGCTATGATCTCCATGTCATAAAGTCCATAATGTCCAACACAGAACATTTCCTGTTCCCCCAAAATGGACAACTTACATGAAGTCTAGGGGAGACATTTCTGTTACTTAATTTACACCCATTTGTCGTCATTGTTAAATGTGTCCTTTCTTACCGGAATTCACTATTCTTGTCTACCACCGGTAACTACTACTTCCTTTAATATAGACCTTGACTAGTGCTTTCCATGGACTATCAAGACTGAATTGAGTAGAAATGGGAGGTGCAATCAACTATTTGAAGAACCACAAAGCCAGTGCCTCAGAGTTTTGGTAAATATTTGTCTATAGACCACCCCTTGTAGATTACACCCAGTCTTGATTACAGTGGAAGGATTTGCAATGAACAGAATAGTGGGTCTGTATCCTGGGTGAAGCAAACAGTTAATGCACTTGGCTGCTAACTGAAAAGTTGGAGGTTCAAGTCCACCCAGATGCATCAAGGAAGAAAGCTTGGTCATCTACTTCTGAAAAATTAGCTGTTCAAAACCTATGGAGCACAGTTCTATTCTGTCACACAAGGGGTTGGCATGAGTTGAAATTCACTTGATAGCAATTGATACTGGTTTTATTCTTTTTTAACCTAGCTCACTCACACATTAATATCTGTATGGTCTTATACCGCTGACATTCTCACATTAGGTCACTGTCCACCAAAGGAGGTACCAAAGTCACCAGGGCTATACATACAGTTAAAAAATGTCACTGAGGTAATTTTCATATTCACTGTCTTAGTTATCTAGTGTTGCTGTAACAGAAATACCACAAGTGGATGGTTTTAACAGAGAGAAATTTATTCTCTCACAGTCTATTAGGCTACAAGTCCAAATTCAGGGCATCAGCTCCAGGAGAAGGCTTTCTCTCTCTGTCAGCTCTGGAGGAAGGTCCTTGTCATCAGTCTTCCCTTGGTCTGGGAGCATCTCAGTGCAGGAACCTCAGGTCCAAAGGACACGCTCTGCTCCTGGAGCTGCTTTCTTGGTGATATGAGGTCCCCATGTGTCTCTGCTCGCTTCTCTCTTTTATATCTCAAAAGAGATTGGCTTAAGATACTATCTAATCTTGTAGACCTCATCAGTATAACTGCAGCTAATCCATTTTATTATATCATATTGATAGAGTTTACAACACACAGGAGATCACATCAGATTACAAAATGTTATACAATCATACAATACTGGGAATCATGACTCAGCCAGGTTGACAGATATTTTTGGGGGCCACAGTTCAATCCATGACACTAACCTAAGAGGTTTTAAAACTCACAGACATATTATTTGGAAAAGCACAGTCAACTCCACAGAGCTGATTAAAAAAAAAATGGGACAAGCATATTTATTAAGTTAACTATTTCTAGTGGAAGAACAACTGGCACAGGCTTTTCCAGGTGTAGGAAGAGAGCAGCTAAAAGGCTGCTTGCTACTAACCTCTGTCACAGTATCCAATAGAACACCACCTAGCATTGTAATGTCATAAATAACACCATTAGTTTATGAATTTATGGTTTCATTATTACCAATCAGTGGAAATGTCACTCAGTCACCAACATTAGTTGAAGAATACTGCTTATTAGGAAAGAGGTGGACATGCTTCAGGTTTAGTACGGAACTAGTACTGATTTTATGGTCCTGGAAAAATGTAAATTTTAACCTAAAGTCACTTAAGCAGAGACTGAAGAGTAGCCTTGATTCTAAAGGAAAGCGTAGAACATTCAAGTAATCCGGTTATCAAAAGTACAGTTTAGTTTAGAACATTCACCTGCTACATTCTCACCTCTGGGAGTTTGCTGGAATGATCTAAGTCTGAAGAAATGAATAAGTGAGAATATCCAAGAAAAGACAGATGTGACACAAATGTCAGTAAAATGTTAGAGAAAACAGTAAGATCTGATATGAGATTTTACCAAAATCAAAACCACTGTTCTCTGCTTAATCCCTGAGGTGCTGCTCTTTCCAGTTTCAGGAGGGTCTGGATGGACATGGCCAATGACACCACCCCAGATGGCTTCATCCTTCTGGGCTTCTCAGATAACCCCAGGTTGGAAATTACTCTCTTTATGGTTGTGTCCATCTTCTACACGGTCACCCTAGTGGGCAACATCACCATTATACTTTTGTCCCACATAGACTCTCATCTCCAAACCCCCATGTACTTCTTCCTCACCCAGCTCTCCTTCCTGGACCTTTGCTTCACCACCAGCTGCATTCCCCAGATGCTGGTCAACCTCTGGGGCCCAGACAAGACCATCAGCTACCTGGGATGTGCAGCTCAACTCTACATCTTCCTGGGGTTGGGTGCTGCGGAGTGTGTCCTGCTGTTGGTCATGGCTTTTGACCGCTACATAGCAGTGTGTCGGCCCCTGCACTATGTGGTCATTATGCACCCAAAGCTGTGCCAGAAGCTGGTGCTCCTGGTCTGGGTGTGCGGGATTTTTGGCACCTTGGTGCATTCCCCCACCACAATGAAGCTGCCCTTCTGCCATCACCACCAAGTGGATGACTTTGTATGTGAAGTTCCTGCATTGATCCGCCTGGCCTGTGGAGACACACGCACCAATGAACTTCAGATATCAGTGATTGGGGCCATCTTCCTGATGGTGCCGCTACTGCTCATCCTTGTCTCCTACAGCCACATTGCCAAGGCAGTACTGGCCATCCAGTCCCAACAGGGAAGGATCAAGGCCTTCCACACCTGCTCTTCCCACCTGGTGGTTGTCTTCCTCTTCTACTGCAGTGTCACTGCAGTCTACATCCAGCCCCGGAGCCATTTTTCCAAGAAAGGAGGGAAATTCCTGACTCTTTTCTATACTGTGGTGACTCCTACTCTCAACCCCCTTGTCTACACCTTGAGGAACAAGGATGTGAAGGGGGCTCTCAAGAGGCTATTTGGGAAAGACGAAATGGCTAGTGAGGACTGAAGGACTCAGACTCAATAGTAAGGTCGGGTTTTGTTCAGTTTCCAATGGCACTTCACGTGTGGGTGACTCTCAACTATCAACACTAATACAAAGGGTCAATAGAGTGCTTTTCAGACAGTGAGACAATCAAAAGAACAATTTGATGCACCATGTACAGTTAATCTTGAATTTAAAAATAGGTGTAACTTTGTTCCAGTCAGGGTACAGTCAGGAAATGAAAACCACTCTAGTTATTTTAAAACAAAGAATTCATTATAATGAATTATTAACTAGATATTGAAGAAGAAAAAGAAAAAAAAGAAGCAGTCCACTAGAGGTGGGGGAACACAAGTAAAGGACTGGAATTGTTAGAACTTATGGTTCATAGCAGAAATTCTTAGACTTCCTACTTCTGAGGAGGGACCAACAGCTGGCTGTGCCATTGCCATCTAAGCGACACAATGCTCTGGTTCAGGTCACAACATGTTAGAAATCTTGATACAAAGTAATTCAACTACTGTTACCTAATACACTGTCACTGATGGGGTGATAAGCATTGTTACAGTCATATTCACACCATGCCAGTCCGCAGTGAAGCAGGCAAACAGCTGTGCTGTGCGTGCACTCGGGAAGCAGTTTCCACATCGAGAGACATCTGGCGGCAGAGCTTCTGCTTGGACACTCTGAACCAGTGAAAAGCAGCTCCCAAGTGGCTAAGATAAGTACATGAATGCAGCCTTTCACAGGGATTAAAAAAAAAAAAATTCCCATTTGGGAAAAACCTCTCTCCCTTTTACCTCCTCCCTCCACGCTCTGCACCGGGAGTCTGCTGGGCTGGAAGTAGATCCCAAAA